CAACCGTCCCCCCCCCCCCCTCCCCGAACCCCCAAAGAAAAAGAAAAACAATAATTTAAATGTTAACAAAGCTAAGTATCCCTCCCAGGAGGGGCTGACTTCTTGAGCAGCCTGCTAACCACCACAATTCCAAGGCAGAATGAAACAGTAATGTGACAGTATGGAGAGATGGCTCTTAGTGGACCTTATCAGAGTGGCACACCCAGTATAATCTTAGCACAGAAATGGAGAGTTGAAAACAATCACAGACTTTTAGTGGAAAGGGATTTTCTTTTAGTTAGGATAAATTTCTTTGCCAAACCTCTCAAATCTTAAATAATTTTACTACCAGAGCTCTAAAGAGAAGTATAAAGAAATCTGATTTGCCTAGATGAAAAAGTAAAGACGATGCACTTTCTAACCATTTCAAGGTTCACTTTTTTCCTCTTTTGTTTCTGAAATGGAATGTAAAAAATTCAGTTTTATCAGAATTACATTTATTTCATGCCAGGTAGTATGCACCGATTTGTTTTTTCAACTGTCACTATTTCCCGATAAGCATTTTGGTTCCAAATAAATTCCTGATAGTGACACAGGAAGTACTGTTTTCTTCTTATAAAGTATACTCTTGCTCATTTCCCCCCAACATACTGAGCTCTTATGAGCCTGTGTTATCCAAAGAACATAAGCAAAGGATATAAGTAGCAACTTACTTTTGTAATAGGTCCTAGCTTTAGACCACAAAGAACTTCTTCCCAAAGCTGTGATTAATTCTCTAAGTAAAAAAAAATCAATAGCTATGTTTTTTGAAAGCATGAAGTCTACTGCAGAAGATGAGACCCCAAGGTTCTTGCTCTCAAAACAGGCATTTATCAGCTTGTTAAAAAGGCTGCTGTACTGAGAAACATCTACAGTATCTGAAATGAAATGGAGATTATTAACTACTGAATTAAGTCAAATGCAAATCTAATTGAAGAATCACTTCTCAATCAGCACCTAAATCAGGACTCTTGCTTATATCAGCAAAATGGAACAAGGTTGAGATAACCTATGATAATGCTTTACTCATCAAAAGGCTTCTGCTAAAGTTTGTTCATTCACATTGTGAAAGAGAAGTGCTAAGGTCCAAATAATAATTTGCTGCCAAAACTAACTGGATCAGATAAAAATATAATTACTTGCCCAAGCCTATAAATACAATCTTCACCTGGTACTTTCAGACTTAAGACTTATACCAATAGAAATCACCTTGGTTCTTCAAGTTCTGCTTCTGTTACTCTGAACTATTAACTTCTCATCTGTCCCCTTCTTGGCAGGACTGAGCAGCCTTGTATCCACCTCATGCATCAAAGGCCTAGATCCTTTTAGGATTCTCAGAGTAGATGGCCTTCCAACTAAGCTCTATTAACATACCTAAAAGCACACACTGGCAATAGCACTGAGACCTGCTCGCAGGAATCAGCTCAGGTTTCCTCAGTGGAGCCTTAAGTAACGATGCATCTCACCTTGAAGTACGCATCCAAAACCTGTTTGATAAATTGAGCCCAGAATAGTACTCTGTCTTAACATGGTACATGAAAGAAGCCTAGGTTAGCTAGCTAAGTTATAGAAAAAATAATGCATTCACCTGAAGTTAAGATAAAATGAATCACCCCAATGATATCCCTATTGTATAGACTGTGTATGATCCTTAAAAATTCGGGGGGGGGGGGTGGGGGTGGGGGCGGGGGGGGGGGTGGTGGTGGTGGTGGTGGTGGTGTCTTTCCTTTTACCCTTAGTTACCCTGTGTAACTAAGACAGTTGGAAAAAGAGTTCAGGCGTACAAAGTCTGTGTGTGTGCAGGTACATGTATGTGTGCATATGCAACAGTAGGGGCAAAGTACTGTACATCTTTTCACAGAATCATAGAATGGTTTGAGTTGGAAAGGACCGTAAGATCATGTAGTTCCAAACCCCCTGCCATGGGCAGGGACACCTCACATTAAACCATGTTGCCCAAGGCTCTGTCCAATCTGGCCTTGAACACTGCCAGGGTTGGAACATTCACAACTTCCTTGGGCAACCCATTCCAGTGCCTCACCACCCTCACTGTAAAGAACTTCTTCCTTATATCTAAACTTCCCCTGTTTAAGTTTAAACCCATTACCCCTTGTCCTACCACTACAGTCCCTAACAAAGACACTACTTGCTTTGGGGGGAAAAAAGGGGTGGGGTGGAGGGGAGGCCCTCATTTAAAACTCTTACTTTTCCACCAAATTTTAGCCTGAAAACAGACAAAAAGAACAGTACAGAATCATCTGATGAATTTTTAGCTCTTAACACAGTACCTTTTTCTTTACTTACCAGAATGATTTCGAAAACCTGGTAAGTTCTGCAGAACTTCCAATGCCTGCCTGTATAAACTCTTCCTCAAGTATTTGTGCACTAGTGTACATAACAGATTATGTCGACTGAGGATGTCCATTTTATCACAGGGCCACAACGGTGTATTTGTGGTCCACTCTGACTCTGTGGCAAACAACAGTGCAGCATTACTTCTATGAACCGAAACTGCTGGATGCTGAGACTTTTGGCCATTTTGAATATACTGTAAACTGCAGTAGAAAACAAAACTGCAGATTTTCACAGAAAATGCAGTTCTAGTTATCAATAATTTGTTCCTTATCACCAGTACTTCTCAGATGGATTCTCTGAACCTTTAAATATATATAACCCCTTTTAATAAATATCACATAAGTAAAATGGACTGCCAGTGGCATATATATGTGTGTATATAAGTATCTATGTATCGATGTACATATGCAAAATTGAACAAATTTAGATCCTCAATATTACTTTACAGAACACCTTCTACTCTTGTTTATACTTCCTGTTCTTGTTTATACTTTGAGTTTCATCCCTTTTCAGCAGATCAGAATTCCAAAAAGCCTGTAATTATGCATCATTTAATTGCAGAAATATAGTACTATTGTAAAATTGTTTTACTAAATAGGATACTGTGAGGTGTAAAGGAACACTGCACTGACGCAATCCTGAACGTTTTTTGACACTGAATGTCACCTGGCTCAAAGGCAATCTACATGGGGCAGGGCCGCTTTCCAAGCTGCAGCCCTCACTATGGTAGGCTTTTGAGTAGAATGGTGTTGATGGCAGACTACTGTGAAAGCTTTTCTGAAAAAAAATTAGTGTTAGTTGTAATATTTCTTATACATATTAAGGAGAAAACTAAGTAAGATGGAACACATTTTATTTCTGTCATCCCAGTATTATTAACTTTATTTTAAAAAACATAGAACAGCTTATAACTTTCACCTGAAATCTGTCAAAGTCAAAATTCAGTTTTTTATAAGACAAACTTACCTCTCAATACCCATGTTGCTCCATCCATACTTCCTGTTTTAAGAAAAATTTCTGCAGCTTTATTAACAATTTGGCATCTTGATGCTAACTTCTCTGCACCTATGAGGCCTTTCAAGACTGTAAAATGTATCTGTAGCTCATGCAACTTATCCAAAACCTTCCTTCCCTAGCATAACAGGGAGAAAGGAAAGGGGGAAGGTCAGAGGAAGCAATGATATTCTTGGACGAAGAGTACATTTACACAAAATACAGCAGATTTAATTTGGTGATACAGATTTACAGGCATCAGTTTAGTATGCGAAGCGAAGTCAAAATCTGAACTTGAACAATCAAGCTTCTAGGTTGCAAGACAAAGTTATGATGGGCTCCATGGAAGACTAGAGCTCAGAAAGACACAATGAAATGCTTTGATCCAGCTGGACAATTAGGAAGTATTAAGATGGTGGGGAGGAAGGTTGAACATCCAACCATTCAACTAAAGAAATACAGTTTCATATCTAGAAAAGAAATAACTCATTCTTTTTCTTCCAGTCAGGTTCCTACAGTTCCGTATACCTTTATCCACTGCAGTACTTTGTGATAAGAATACATTACACTTATCCCAATCCTTCCAATGAAAATTCTGTCTGCTTCGTTATGTTGTGAATTTTTTGCTACTGAAAAGAAAAACAAAAACACATAAAAAAAAATTGTACATGTAAATGCAGTTTTAAAGAGACTGGCCACTTGAGAAACACTGTCATTGTGAAAATATTAAACATGCTTTCAGAAATACTTGCCATTAAAAGTAGTAACTTCCTAAGTCTTAACACCAGGAGTAGGGTAAATAATTACATTATATTCAGACACTATTTCATAGTAGTCTAATTCATCCATAAGATGCTTGGACACATAATGGCATAATTCCGTAAGTTTTGTGTTTTCTGGGGCCATGAAGAAATGTTGGCAAATTACAGAACTGATTAATTATAAGTTTTTCCAACCACATTATACAACCACTTTGGAAGCACTGTTGGCATTCTAGAGTAGTGGTCTCCAAAGTACGGTGTGAGCACAACAATCCATTTGGGTGTGGAAAGAAAGTATTTTTTGTACCACTAAAAAGTAAAAGCAAAAAAAAAAAAAGTTTTAAAAAGCACTGTTTATTTCTTATTATCTCATATTTTTAATTTCTATTTTTGTGTATGTTTTATAATGTACTTAATACATTAGTGCAGTTGTATATAAATTTATAAACAAACCAACAAACAAACTGGGGGTGAGTGCTCAAAGATTTTTTTACTGACAGAGGAGCCTATCAGCTTGGAGAGCACTGCCCTAGAGAAGACAGACTAAGCTACAGAAATGTCCAACATCTTCTGTCTGTGTCACAACTGGAAGCTCTGATAGCCATTTTATAATGTCAAAGTCTGCATCTGGAATAAATATTCATCATGCTTTAGTAGTTCATACAGATTGGAAAAGATCTGAGACATTGTCCTGGGTTCAGCTACAGCAGTCATTTTTTCTCCTTCTTAGTAGCTGGTGCAGTGCTGTGTTTTTGACTTTCAGTCTGGGAACAACGCTGATCACACCGATGTTTTTAGTTGTTGCTAAGTAATGTTTACTCTGACCAAGGACTTTCTCAGTCTCATGCTTTGCCAGAGAGGAGGGGAAGCCAGGAGGAAGCAGAGGCAGGACACCTGACCAAAACTGGCCAAAGGGCTATTCCACACCACAGCACGTCATGGCCAGGATAGAAACTGGGGGGAGTCACCCAGAAGGCCCAGATCGCTGCTCGGGTCAGGCTGGATATCGGTCGGCGGGTGGGAAGCGGTTGTGTCCTTTTCCCTTGTTATTCCTCTTATCATTATTATTGGTAGCGGTAGTGGTTTGTATTATACCTTAGTTACTGGAGAGCTGTTATCTCAACTCGTGGGAGTTACATTCCTTCGATTCTCCTCCCCATCCCTCCGGGAGCGGGGGGAGGAAGGAAAAGGGGGGGAGTGAGCGAGCGGCTGCGTGGTTCCAAGTTGCCGGCTGGGCTTAAACCACAACAGACATTAATTATGAAATGCTTTAATATCCAAATGACACTTCACTGAGCCTCAGTTTTCTGGAAACTTACTAGAAAGAATGATACAGTTTTGAAAGTGAAGAGGCATAGTCAGGAAAGGGGTGAGAAAACCAGGAAGAACTCTACAAAAAATAGGTGTTTTGCGGACCCAGCCCTTACATAAATGCTTGGCTTTTTAAAGAATGAAAGAATTCTGAAAATCCAAATTAAAAAAAGGAAAAAGAAAAAAATACAACTGATGTATCTGATGTAACTCTGTTCAGTGTGTTTTGAAATACACAAATATAGTTGTATTTACTCTAAATAAACTCTAAAGTTTATTTATGCTATTAAAAGTGTGACACTTCACATGGCAATACTTGTTTGCTTTTGTCCTGAGAATAAGACATTATTAAAAGTCCACCAATTTTGGTCTTATTAAAAGACCACCAATACTGGTTTCTCTTCCTGATTTCAAAAAGCTCAAATGTTCTTCTAAGTGTAAGCACTGTGGATTTTACTTCTACTAGAAAATGGCTTCTATTGAGCATTTTGGCTGGTTGTATTTGCTCCTCAAGAAATTCTTAATATTGTAACATACAAAAATAACATTCAGAAAACAGTATATGAATTTGGTTCTTTACCACTTTAAAAACTCCACAAAGAATAGGGATGAACAAAAAGCATTTCTTGCATCTTAATTTTACCTGCATCAGCAAAATCACAAAAAGGAACTTCTGGTCTGTTTGTCTCAGAGTCTTTGGTTAGTATTTCAGCAATACATAGAGACAATTTCTGAAGATCATCAAAATGTTCACAGCCAGTTCTTGCATTAACAAACAAAGCTCCCAGCTTGGCCCAATCTTTTTTTTCTTTGCAATGCTGTGAAGAAGACAAGGAGTAAATATAAGTCAACCTGAGCACTGAACAGAGAACATACTGGAATTTGAGAGCCACACCTGGGATAGACTTAAAGCAGAAAAAAGATGCTGATGCAATGCTACTGCCAAGAACCTCCATGTTCAATATGGCACAGTTACACATTTCCTAAGTGGCAGGGACTGCTAATCATGTTTGTCCCTCCGGAAATTAAAATTCTTTTTCCATTTATGACACGACCCCAATTGGGGAAGCTCATAACTTATTCATCCATTTACATACTGGCATTCATCCAGTATTTTACTGGTTTTTTTTTCTTTCACCATGTGTGCCAAGTTGAAGGTTTTTTCCTGTATGAATTAGTCTTTTGCTTGTCAGATCACTTCATGATTGTGGTGTTTAAAGGAGTAAAAAAATAAAATAAATAAATAAATCAGTCCTCATTCTTCCCTTCTTAAATTTTGGTATCAGGATCTGAATAGTAAGTGTGGTAATGTGTAAACTTGGAATATTTAAATATTGTAATTGTGCATTAGAAGTAATCTGCCCTTGAACATGAAAGATGCAACCCTCCAAGAATTTTTAATAATATTGCCTTATTCTTTAAAATAATTGCTTAGTGTTTCCAATTAGAGTCTTTTACAATTGTGCCTTTTTAAACTAGATACGAATTCTATCTACTAAAAAATATATTCAGTATTATTTTTTGTGAGGAATGATGTAGTACTTCCAGTTACAAACACAACAACCGTAAGGCATAGGAAGTAATTGCTTAAAGTTATAAAATCTTTGAATTAGATATAAAACCAAGATAAAAACTGCAAGTATGTAAACTAGAATACCGGCATCACAAAAGCACCACAGTTTTCCCCTGCATGTTAATCTTTCCCAAACATGGCTTTGCATAAAAATATTTTATTATAATCTCAATATAATTAATAATAAAGCCCACTCAATTAAAATTATGTAGAAATTGTTATTTTTTGTAGGTTTAAAAGAAGTAATGGTTTAAACATTCCAACAGGCTTGAAGAATGCATGCACTGTACCTGAATTTCAGCCACTGCCAAGTTGAAGTCAAAAACCCAGTTCTTTTCAAAATGTTTTTCCTGAAATCTTCCATAAGAAAAAAAGATATTAATACTTAATTTTAACACATCCTATTGAACAGAACTATGCACTAGCAGAAGGCTATCAAATTATCATATATGAACTAAAAACTAATGTGAATTTTGAACCTATTCACTACACACTAGGCAAACTGGACACTGAAAACAGACATTTACAGTCACACAAGGGAAGCCAGTACATGTATTAAGCAAATAATTGAGTGGAGCTACTTTAACATAAAATATTCCCTTGTCTCAGTACAAAGGTAACTGAAAAGGTACAAAAAAGACTTCAAATCCACTAAGGAAATGTAGAATTGGGTTGTATGTATTTCTGACATATAGATAAAAAAATAAATGAATTACATCAAAGAAAATGCTATTAATCTTCAAATATCTGGGAGCATGATACTTTATTCTGATGCCACCACTGAAACAATGTATACATCTACCTAGTGTGATGCTATCACGTAGAGATACATAACCTACATATGAATGAGCTAACACATGTATTTGAAGCAACACAGCTGCTCAGTCTTCATACATACAGACTGTTTCTCAGTTTGTGCTGAAAACACACACATACCGAGGCAATCTGGAAGGAGGTCATTCCTCTGTGAATGAGATTCCTGATCTGACAAGTGATAAAAATGACCTCCAGCGTGTGTGGTAAGTTGTGCGGTGAGATCCGTGTCTCAAAGGTACTCTATAGGAAAAGTATGAAAAGCACCAAATAATTTCTCCAGTGCTTTCACATGAAACAGTGATGGCCTGTTTTCACACAGTAAATGCTGCATATTTGGTTTCTTCTAAGCACCAAAGGTTGCTCTAAGAATTTCAAAGTTAGTTTCTCAGCTTGTGTGTGTACGATGCAGATAATGAGGGGAAAAAAAAAAGTCAATCTTGTGCAGGTAATGGGAAGACATAAACATCGACAGTTTTGGAAGAGATCTGGGCTGTGATTTCACATTTTGCCCAGCATTATCCAGCAGTACTTAAAAAATGACTCTCCTCCCCCGAAATGTTGGCACAAGTGTCCATGTAGTCGCACAGTAAACGAAACTAAAAAAACTACTTCAGATTATAACTAATACTCTTATTGTCTAAAAGGGTTGTTTATTGCAGAAGTAGTGCTTGCTTACGTAGACCTAAATGATATTAAACCATGATGTCTCTAATTTGACTGCAGTTATATAAACTTGCAGCACAGCTGGGAACAGATTGTACAATGATGATCAGTATGGAAAAAACTAATCATAACTGTGGTCACAATCTAAGTTTTGACTTAACAATCCTTGATCTTTGAAGCACAGTAAATTGACAGCACTTTAAAATACAGTAACACGTGACATGACAGTATTTTCATCCAAAACACTGAATTTGCATTTTCTAATTGCCTTTTAAAGGCACACGTAAGTTTATAAAAATAGAACCTAGCGAATGAACTAGACAGACAGATACAAAATAGCTCCTTAAAGACATACCTCGATTTTATATTCAAAACAGTATTTAGTTCCTGACTGGAAACTTTCAGTTGGTGAAGGTACTTAATAATACAGTCAAAATGTGTAGACTCAAGGAACATACCAGCACCAATGAGCTGTAATAGCAAACAGGGGGAATAAAACTAAGCATACAAAGAACTATGATCACTTACGTATTTCCAGAGGCAAGTGGCAAACAGTGGGAAAAACACGTGATTGAATCTCAGTCAAAAAAATAGGGGAAGATTAGAAACACCCACCACAAATTCAGCTAGTCATAATATAACTTAAAATAATAGTACTGAAATAATATTGAAGTGATATGGTAGAGTTTTAAAACAGACAAGGTATTTCAGAAATTCTGACAAGTAGCAGCAGTACAATCAAACTCATACCTTACAAAAGGTACTGATTAATGTCGGCACAGCGTCTTTTATATTCAGAGAAGCCACATGCTCAAAAACTTTCAGAAGAACATCTACAGCTGGCTAATTTAGACAGAAAAGCACAATCAGTTTTGCAACTCTGTTCAATTAGAAAGCTTAGAGTTTTCGTAATAGGAACTTTTGAATTGCTCTT